GTAAAATGATTTAGTTTAAAATATGTTCAAAATTAATAGGATTAGTTAGTTGGATGTTGAAATAACAATAAATTATATTCTTGCACGTCACAAATACCCATCTGCCAAACCCTATGCTTTTAATGCACATTAACTTATCCAGCTACAAGGAGACTTCCAAAATAAAATTCATAAAATAATCTTTTCGTCCATTTTTAATTGTTATAGACTCATAGTTTTCTTTTTATAGTTTAACGATAAAAAAATTTGATTAACAATTTACGATATATTTATTCATCATATTGATATGTACAAAATTGCAATTTATAGTACTTTTTGTGTAGTATTTGAATATCTAATTTTTTGTTTAAACTATCAAATTAATGTAATCTAATTTACTTTAAAAATTAGTCAAAACGATTTTCAAATTGCAATACGACAATTAAAAGTGGACGGAGGGAGTAGTTATTTTTCAATCCCTATCATTGAAAAAATGATCATTATCATAGCGTTTTAGTAGATATTTAGTTTTCTAGAAGAAGTATTTATTTTTGAGTTGAAAATGATATTTGGAAATTGAAGCTATTTTTGAATTTTGCAAGTGATTTAGAAAATAATAGTTTGGAGTTTTTAAATTCATGATAATTATTAATTTTTTTATGTCCAAACAGTTTTTTTAAAATGAAATTTCGAAAAAAGGGTAAAGACTATCCATGGGTAAAGGAACACTTAAATTTTAAATAAATAGTAGAGTACTAATTGTTTTATAATTTTTAAATTACTATCTATATTAATCACGGCCCTATAGGACTGCTATAGGTTGCTACTTGTTTTAATTTTATTAATTGATGGTTGAATTAATTGTACCTACTTAAAATTAAAGTTGCAGTTCTACATATTGCAATTCTACCTAAAGTTATACACTGTTATCAAAATTAATTGTTATTAGGGATGACAAAATGAGTAATTTATATGAGTATTTATTCAAATTATTCATAAAATAGATAAATAATATTAATAATAGTAATAACTTAATTTACAACATTTTCAAAAATAAATAAATTTATAAAGCTTGATCAAATATGCTATAAATTCGCACCACCCACATTTAGGATTGCGTATCGGTCGGTTCGGTTCGATTTTAAAGTTTATCGGTTTGACTTATTGGTTGTCGATTTGTAGAGATACTAAACCGTTATAAAACCATTAAGATATTGACTTGTTGGTTCGTTATGAATTCGGTTATCAGTTTAACCGTTAAGATTTGACAAAAAAAATCATTGAAAATCACTTAGAAACAAGGTGACAAACCAAATGAATCATGCAAATGAGTTCCCAAGTTACATCTTGCTCAAAAGCAAATATTTTTACACCGTAGAATAACCAAGAGTTTGAGACAACCAGAAATAAAAGTAGGAAACCAAATTTTAAGTCAAGGACTTTATATACAAAATAGTATAAATATAATTATTTAATTTACTGTCGGGTTATCAGTTAACCCGTTAAAAAAAACTTCAAACCATTAAAAATCGATAATTCGATAACAAAAAAAAAATCAAAACCGTTATCAAAACTGCTAAACCAATAACTCATTACTGATAAATTAGTAACTTTTTTCGATTCGAATTATTAATTTTGGTTCATTTTCAACGGCTCTACCCACATTTCATTATCAAATTTAATACCACTGGCGTACATATTATGTCCCCTTTGTTAGGCTAGTTGACTACGTCGTCCTCAATGTTGATCAACAATTAAACTTATCAGACACCTCTTTTTTGGTACAACTAATTAAACAAAATCACATAATAATAGCTAAAATATTATGTCTATCTCTGTTAGGTACATAATATTACTATTTACTCATCCTTTTCCCAAATCAGATTTTATAAGTCAGATTTAGTTATTATATATATGTATCTAGCTAGGATAAAATTTCACTATCAGAAATTAAAATAAGGAATTAATGGCGGACAAAATTTTATAGCTAAACAATAAAAATCTCATATTAATTTTATTTAACTGTAAATTAGCAATGAAGTATTACGAAAATTTAATTAGCTATGAATTAGTTGAAGATTATCGACATATTTCATAGCTGAATTCATGTTTTCTAATTGTAATCCAAGATGTAAGTACAATGTCATATATATAAAATAAAAAAATTTTTTTTTTTTGGGAGTGGTCCTTCAAAGTTACATCATTATATCTTTAAAAGTGGGACATGAAGAATATATTTTGGGAATGAATAAGGTCATCTTCACATGGACGTATTGTTTTAATTTCTTTAATTTCATTGGCAATATTGCTATGTGAAAATGTTTCTCTTGTCTCTTCTTATAAGTCTCATCCTCCATCCAGCCTGGAAATTATATTAGGTCTTTTTATTTTTCACAAAGATCCATTTGATCTTGATAAACACGATATTTCTAACCATCCGATATAGAGAGGAGAAGAACGTAACTATCCGATCGGAATCATAGTTTTAAAAACATTTTCAACAAGTAATAGGATTTGTTCGATGTTGAAACAACAATAAATTAGATTGTTGCAAGTTGCAAATAATACCCCATATTCCAAACCCTATGTTTTTAATGCACATTCTCCATCCATGCCAGCTGCATGGAGACTTTTACTATAAATTCATAAATAGATATTTTCAGTTTTTGTAATTAAAGAATAATTATTAATATAGAGTTTCAGATTTTAAAATATTATTGATAATATCTTAAAATTTAAAAGTCCACGATAAATAATTATTTTTCATTTTCAGAGATCGAACTAAAATATTAGAGAAGACTTCGCTATCCGTATTAAACATGCATGGCCCCATAGGACTACTATAGGTTGCTACTTGTTTTAATTTTATTGTTCTTGAATTAATTAATTGTACCTGCATGAAATTAAAGTTGCAGTTTTAAAATTGCAAATACCTAACACAATTTATTTGTTGACTTATAATAATTAATCATACTAAGAATTTATTTGACATTGCTGCTAAAAATTAATTATTTTTAGAAACACTTTTTTTAAAATAGCTTTCAGAAAAGTGTTTTTCAAAAAAAGTAATTTGTGTATGACAAATTCATTTGAAAAGTGTTTTTATTAGCAATTTGTGTTTGACTAATTTTCTTAAAAAAGTGTTTTTGAGAGTCAAATTACGAAAAAGGACAAGTATCAACATGATTTTAATATTAAGATTTTTTATAGAGAGAAACTATTTTAAACATCTAATACAGAAACTTTAATTACATTTTTGATTTAATTATTTAAAATTTACATATTCAAATTTTCAATTGATATTTTACGTAGATAAATATTGTTGAGAAATATTGAAAAGAGGAATCTTTGTGTTTATTTGTTACCTATATTTTTGAATTCAATCTTAGCTATTATCCTTTTTTATAAAGTTATAATACTCTAAAGTTTAAAAAAATTAAAATTAAAATAAATAATACCTAAATTAAGAAAATATTTTTTTTGTCACTTGTTACTTTTTTTTGAGGGTCTAAATCTTTATTTTTTCTCTTTTTTATCCTACAAAAATATCGTTGTTACTTTTATTTCTAATTTTGTAAAATAATACATAAAGTAATATATACACTATAATATATATAAATAATAATATAAAACATAAATAAAATAAAAAATAAAATTCTTGAATAAAAATCAACCAAACTTATGAGATATGTTAATTAATTTATAAGGGATATATTGATAAATATGTATATATGTAAGGGATATTTTAGTCTTAAAAAAAAAAAAAATTCTATTTCTGCTTCTGTTCTTTTCTTTTTTTTTTTAAACAGAAATATTTAGTTTATTCCCAACCGTAGAAAAATTGTTTTTGCTTCCATTCAAAAACAGTTTTAAAAATTTGTCAAACATTTAATTTCTAATAATAAGTGTTTTTTTATTAAAAAAAAGGCTCCCAACCGCAATGCCAAATAGGCTATAAAATTCTTATTTCAAGTGTTTTTTTACTTCATTGACATTTAAGATCCAACCTACTCCAAAAATTAGAAGGAAAATTAAATAAAACAAAGAAAATAAATTATGCTTATCTTTATTATTATTATTATTCCTCTAGGTTACACAAACTGTCTTCATTTATCGATTTTTTACGCGACATAAGTTATATTTTCATATTATAATATAACACGAATTATGTCACTTAATTCCTATAGAATTGATATCGATAGAAACAAAAGTTCAGTCCAAAACCTATAAGTTAGCCTTAATAGATATAATTTAGTTCCTACCAAATTCATATCGATTGAGGCAAAACTTTAATTTTAGAACCTATAAGTTATGTCATAAAATGCATAACTTAATTCCTACAAAACGTATGCCGAGCAAAGTAAAGTTCTCCAAATTTATGCTAACGAAATTAGGTTATAGAAATACTACATAACTTAAGTCGCATTTATAACTTTATTCTTACGAAACTTATATCGTACAAGGTAAGAATTGCCTAATGAAATTAGGAAGGTGCTTTGGTCCATAATTTTTCGTTAAATGAGTAAAGGAAGCAAAAATTAAAGACCATTATAATTGAAGACCAACACAAAATTGGAGGGCAATCTATGCAAGAACTTCAAAAGAGATACTTCTAGTGTAGGCTCCAATAAAAAAGTTATTCAGTTTTTAATGGAGATAATTGTTGTTTTGTGTATAAATAAACTAATATATATAAATTTCATAAACTCGGTATCTGCATTTAAGAAAATGATTTAAATTATGTGCACATATAATTGAAAATGAAGTGTCACGTTGTAAAAAGGATGCTCATGCACTAAACTTCCACTATTATTTTTAGTTCATGAAAACAAACAGAAAAACAAAAATTTAGCATTGTATGTGAATGAACTAATAATAGTTATGATACACTAGAAAATAGCAAGAATACAGAAAAACACACAGCTTTTATTCACGTGGTTTTATAATTAACAAACAAATAACACCCAAAGTTAGGATTTTTTTTTCTTTTTTTTGTTCACAAGTCACAACCATCAATGTTTATAAAAAATTATGTCATTCAGGCAACTGTTTCAACTATGTTTGTGATTTTTCTCATCACCTATGTACAGAATTTGTTAGCCCTCCAAACTAGAGGAACAATGGAATTCTCCATAGAGAAGTTTGTTCATTAACATTAGGGAGAAATATCAACTACCTTCATCCATTTTGAGCTAACTTTTGTAAGTGGGATACATCAGGTTTAAATTCAACCCTCACTGACTGAACGAGTTGCGCTCTTGGACAGAAGTAGATCTTTCAAATCTTTGTAAGTTTTGAGCTCCTCCAACGCATCGGATGCCTTTCTACTAATGAAAAATCCAGATGCAGTGCTAAGTTCTCCATCCAGTTCAGTCTTTATGCTATTCGAGGTATAACAGCTAGAATCTTGGCGCAAAGGAGGAGCAGTTCTTAGCATGTGAACAAGGGCACCTACAGCTGCATCTTGGGATTTTCTGGTTGTTGCAGATGCCTGAGAAGAGATTTCTGAACCTTTTCTCCCATCAAGGATCTCACTGCATAACAATGACATAAAAAATGAGTTGAAAATCCAATGGCGCATAAGAAATTAAGACACAAGCTGAACTCAGTGCCTGCTGTCTGTTCGGCAGTTACTGAGAGGTTCATTTTTATTCATTATCAGAACCCAAGGGATATAAAACATCTATGTTTCTCGGACACAGGTGCGGGTAAAAAAAAGGATGGGGATCTAGACCTTGAATTTGCCATCACCTAAATTTTAAGATGCAGGGATACGGGTAGGAGTATGGGTATGGATGTTAGGATGCAACAAATAACAGTATATTATGACATATTTATGCACATTTTTCAACAATTATTGATGTTATTAAATTAAAGCTAGAATGATTGATTTTTGTATTCACTTCAAAATTTTGTTCATAAGTTATACCGTATAGTAGCAAGCTGTTACATATATATGTGTGTGTACTAAGCTCAAAATTAAACCAAATGCCCAATCAACCTCCAGTTTTTGGTCATAGATGTCAAAGCACTCAATTTAGGTTGACGAAATCAAATAGCACCCACGGCCAAATAGTGTCGGATCGACATGAGTGCAACAAGGATTTTGAAGGATCTGAGCAACATAGTAAAGCAGATAACAACTATTTAAAAGCCAATCTCATTCAAAATGGATCTCAAGTCCAGCCAATTCAGTGAATTTTCATTTCCTCCATCCAGTGCTCCCTCCCTTCCTCAAGTGAAGAAACACAAACTATGACAAATTCTGTGCCTGCTGTCTTTGGCAATTACTAAAAGATGCATTTTTCTTTCCCTCCCTGCTTCGCTCCACTCACTCAACAACTTTAATGCAGAAAATTTTCTCTGTGTACTCATTTCAACTTCAATTGCCTCCTGTTTTCTGCATATTCAACTCCAAAAAGTACTCTCGTGATCCCCCATAATCCTCCAAAACGACTAACAAAAACACTATAGATACCAATTGTTCTAGTGGATATAGAGGCAGCAATTCCCACAAACCTAGGATCCATGGGATCTCGAAGCTCCAGATAGAATCTATGATAGCGAACAAGTGACCTTCTAAAGGAAAAATATCAAGTCTTCCCTTTGCTCCATTGAAAATGAAGGGGCAAGACTGTGCACTAACTTTAAAGCATAAAGGGGTATCTCAAAGTGATCATGACAAATGTGATTCATATGTGGCCTTCAATAGTGTGTTATTGCAATGGATATGAAGAATAAGTTCTTATAAATGGCGAGTATTGTGGCTTATGTTTGTTTGTGTACAGAAGGTCGACGGGGCATACAAGTAATTATTTTTGGGTGATCTCCCATTTCTGAATGATCTTATATGATTCTGTCCCAAATCACCATCTCAAGTAATCTAGTTTAAACAGAGTACTAGAAACTTCAAACCAATGAAAACAAACACCAACATAACGCTGGTTTTCATAATTGGCCTTTCACACTCTTAAATCCTACGAGTTTTGAAGGCTCTTAGTTTCCTGGCTGAGAACCCACTCTCAAATCCGGCTCTCTTGGCGGTTGGCCTGCTGGCAATTGACTTGAGCCTTGGGGTTTGCTCCCTTTCAAGGTCTCAAGTTCGAAACCCACTAGGTGCAAACAATTTCTGAGGGCCATCGGACTGGGTAAAACCTGAATTAACCGTGGTGCACTTGCGGGAAACTCCTTGCCGAGGGCCTGTGCACCCCCGGGATTAGTCGGGGCTCAAAGAGACTCGGACACCCGGTGCAAATCAAAAAAAAAAAAAAAACATATGAAAAAGAAAAAGAAATAGAAAATAGTGAACAATTAGAAGGATGATGAAGAACCTAGTAGAGTAAAGAAGAATTAGGGACTCGAGATAAAGTCTGTTAAGCCGACTGGAAAAACTCGTGTAAATCTCAATATCATGCATATCAAAGTATCACATGTTGTAAAAGCCACTCATCAGGAATAAAAAAAGGCACACTTAAGGCGATTGGGAGTTCCACCAATTACACTAAACAAAATAAAATTCCAATCCTTCATCTGCTAACCTAGTTGCTGTTTTTCTAATAGTACAGGTCAAAGGACTGCTTCCAGTGACTCATTACCTGTTTCAACTTCATATCTTGCTCTATTGAGCCAAGGCAAATCTTTCCATTGTTCCTAGTGAACTACTCAATCTACTCACAGCTCTCTCATCCTATGAATAATTTTTGGAGTTATCACCAATCGTCACATCCATACAATATATATATATTTTTTTTTGATGACAAGGGAAACCAACAGCCGCTACCCTTTGGGTGTGCACAAGGTTTTTACCCTGCTCCTATGCAATAGCTCGCAAACCACATAAGAGAGGTAACCCGCACTAGGCAAGCCCGGTGCGACGAGGTCGACCCAGGAGGCAAACCCCTTGCTTTCACTGGCAAGGGGTTTCGAACTTGAGACCTCCAACATGGAAGTCCCAAACCCAAACCACTGGGCCACCCCGAAGGGTATCCATACTATATTGTGCTACAAATACATCCATTGTCCACTGCCTAAGTTTATGGCAGAAGCAATGGCTCATCCTTGTTGGTGTCACGTTATGATTGAGGAAACTGATTGTTTTACATGATAATGGTACCGTGAAATAACTCTTTTTAAAATAAAATCTAGGAGATAACTCCTTTATCTCAAGGTAAAACTATAATTGGATGTTGGTGGTGACTAGTGAAAACACTGAATAATCAATGTGAGACAAGATCAGAAAGTTGGCTACCTAAAACTCGACCTGTTGCCAAAGAATACACCAAACATATGATCTTCATTGTGATGAAATTTCCTCTCTGGCTGCTAAAATTGCATCAGTTGGTTCTATTGGTCTCTTTATTTATTACTTTTTTGTGTAGGTGTTCTGCTGGCACCTTTATTAGTTGGACAACTATTCTGCCCCACCCATGAGTAAATATTTCATAGTAGCCTCATTAGACCGTACATCTTACAACAGTTTGGAGAGAAAAATTTGATGGACTTGAATCTACTTAATTTAAATCACAAATGAAGAGCTTAACCTTGGATTTTCTAGCAACTTATTCATTAATCATTTCATACAGTAAAGAGGAAAAGACTGCTCGAATTCTCCCTAAAAGATCTTTTTACATATCAACTATTGAAGGCAAAAAGTAACTTCTAGATACTTTGCATCTGACATGTCTCCCTTGAGATAAGATAAAACAGCTAGGTGAACCCTCCAATATGTAAAAAAAATCCCAATTAATTTACATCAAATGCTCAACTTTATGTCCTACCAGCAGCCAATTTCTAAACAATGTCTAACATGTTAAACAACAGCTACAAAGCCAACACACTGGCCCAGGAGAGCCAATTTACTAAAAGACGGACACAAGACTGCAAGAGGAACTTCATGCAACACTAATGTAAAGAGTTTCAGTTCCCAAGAAGAATTCTCCAAAAATACAGAAGAGTAGCAAAGTTACCTGGCTTGAGAATCGGAAGTGTCGACATCATCAACAATAAAAGGACAGGAAAAATCACAGACATCCAAGTCATCTTGAAAAGATAGTCTGCTAGAACTTCTAGAAAATATACGTGGCGAACCACTTGAAGATAGCAAACCAGAGAACCGTCCTGAATCATCTCTAACATCTCTGGAAATCTGGAAAGGAAGAATAAGAGAGATTATCAGTTATGCTCTAGATGCTACCAATGTGGAGAGGAGGCAGAGACAATCAATCATCTCTTTTGCTCTGTAAACTGACTGTACAACTATAGAGGATATTCATCAACCTAAGGGGTATAATGTGGAGTATACCAAGGAACATAGTTGATGTTCTAGAATGGAATTACAGAAAAGGTATTAACACAAGCCGGAAAGAGATATGGAGGGTTGTCCCGGCTTGCATATGGTGGACAATTTGGGAAGAGAGAAATCATAGATGCTTAGAAGATAAAGTAGGTCATATCCAGAAGATAAAATGAAGTCTTTAGTCCTTTTTTATTTTGGTGTAAAGGAGAATGTTTGGAAGATCATGAAACAATTTTTTGATGTTTTAGATTCCTTCTGAGAAGACATAGGAGTTGTTGTTTTGACAATCTCCTCTGTTATAATGGATGACTACACAGATTTGGCTAATCAATATATCAACACCCAAATATGTTATCTTCTCAAAAAGAAAAAAAGAAAAAAAGGAAAGGAAGAATCCAAACAAAAGTTGGGACGGTTAAAAAATGGATTAACTAAGTACAACGTTTGTAATAAAAGTATGAACATGGAAGTGCACAAGCATGCCTAAAGTATGGAATAACAACACATTTTTCTGACTAAAAATTGCTCACCTTTTGTCCAGGACTGGTAGTGACGATATTCGATTCAAGAGTCCTCAGCGGATCCATTTTCCTGAATGACCTGATACCTGAAGGGGATTCTTGGGATGATGAATCATGCTTTATACTTTTGGGAGACATTGGAGGAAGAGAATGCCTGTTCGGATCAGACAAATTAGGAGATAGGTATCTGGAACTTGTACCCATCATTGGATGAGGGATACTGACGGGGCCAGATCCAGAACGCAAACGAGTCTGCCCAGGATTTGCACCTGACAGATATGTTGGTGGCGATGGAGATGGAGATGGTGAAAATGGAGGTGAAAGCTGGTATTCATCAAAGCTCGTTGCTTTGTGGTGAATTGGCAATCTGTTGTTAGGTGAAACCCTGTGTCCATGTACATCACTGGGTGAAGATGAAAGCTCATGTGGTGGCCGGTACAAAGGTGGAGATCCTACATATGGCTGTGTCCGAGGTAAAGAAGGAGACGTGAGGAAACCACTTGTCCAACTGTGTGGACGCTGGAAAGGTGATGAAGAAGATGAATGTGTCCCTCTCGACGGAAATGATGTAGGGTGTCCACCCTTATCAGATGAGGTGGATGGAAATGACCTCATCGGGTCAGCAAGAGGACTGCCTACATAATCTGTAATGATCTCAGGTGGAAAGGATGCAGCAGTCTCCAGGTTAAAGTTCGACAGATCTTCACGATATGTAACAGATATACAAAGACGACCCTGCTGGGCATCAACTGGAGTAAAAGTATAGTGCTTCATCAACTCCTCCTCTACCCTGGAGAATGGAGCACTAAATGAAGAGACTTTGTAAATGATATCAAAGTCACAACTCTGGCTTGATGAAAGTTTCCTGAAGGCCTTGAATGCAGGAAGGAGCCTCATCATTGAATAAAGGGCGCGGAGCAATATTATTGATTTCTTGTATGTTTTCTTATAAGACGAATCACCAATTTGAGGAACCATTGTCCTCATATACTCATATTGTACAACCCACCTCTCTATAATGGTTTCGGTATATGCCCCTGCAATACCTGAACTATGCTCCAACAACGAACTATGTTTCTCTTGAACAATTATTATGTCTATTATCATTGGTTCCATCAAATTTCTATGCCAAAAATTCAAATTATCCAGAACAGCAGGCCGATCTCCCAACACCAAATTGAACCATTTGTCACTCTTTTTCACTTCCCCACTACGTCCACAAGGGCGTATAGAAGGAACTCTACAGTCCATAACAATATGCAAGGTTTTCAGCAGAAATTGAGCAAGTATCTGTTCAAACCTTCCATATTCACCTTGTGGGTTACTCTGAAAGTCCATTTAATATACCCCCAAGCAAATATCAACCTTATATTCTCTCAACCATACGCCACAATAAATCATACATGACAACAGCAATGATCTGCTACAGATATGTAACAAATTTCAAACAATGTTTAGAACAACACACCCCATTAAAATCTAAAAGTAACTCAACTTATACAAATAGTCAAATACCCATATCTCAGATATAATTATAAGTAATTCTACAGCTTCAATGAAGTGGTGAGAACCCTAATGTCTCAGGTTCAAAACTCATTGAAAAACCAAAAAAAAAAAAAACAATAAGTGATTCTTCCATCTGTCCTAACCTGGGCAAACAGAATTACCTGACGTGTGGCAGGTATCCCGTGGAATTAGTCGAGCTGCGCTAAAGCTAGCCCGGACACCACGGTGTAAAAAAAAATAAAAAAATCTACAGCTTCATTTACATCCAACAAGATATACAGGAGCATACAGAAAAAATTCAAAATTCCCCCAAAAAAAAAACTACTTTAGTGTGATCAACTAATTTTCTTCATCGATTATTACTAATAACTTTTTAGATGCAGATCTTAACATCAGTGAAAAGGTAACATAATGTTGAAAAATAGGACCAAAATTCAAACGACTGCTAGTTGGAAATAAATAAGCGATTGAACTGAATTGGATTGAAATTGAGTAATGAGAATTGAGAAGAGATTTGATGAAGCTAAGAAAAGAAGGATCAAACTTACTTGAGAGAAGAAAATATAGGGATTAGCAACGAAGAGAGAAAACCTCAGACTTTGAAGCAAGCGAAAGAGAAGAGAGATTGCGTAGAACACCGAGACTCGCCGGCTCTACAGAGAGAGAAGAAGGAGAAATGATCAAAATGGTCCTTTTACTTATGTGGTCGGACTATTTTAGTCCTTACTATGTACTACGTAATCATCGAAAGAGAGAAGTATTAAAAACACATTAGATCAGGCCTAAATACTACGTAATCATCGAAAGAGAGAAGCATTAAAAACACATTAGATCAGGCCTAAATAAGTACTCTCTCTGTCCTTAATTACTTGTCCACTTTTTTTTTTATAGTTGTCCCTAATTACTTGTCCATTTTGACAAATCAAAAAAGGACAATTTTTTTTACCTATTATATCCTCAATTAAATGACTAATTACTTTGAAAAATGTAGAACTTTTCATCCACTTCATAATTAATAGGGGTAAAATGGTAAACTCACTATGTCATTAATTGTTTTCTTAATATGTGTGTCAATTCAAAAGTGAACAAGTAATTAGGGACAGAGAGAGTATTAAAAATATTCCTGAACTTAGAGCAAATTATTAATTTCGTTACTGAACTATTTGATAGCTTTAAAAATACTCATCTACTAGCTAAACTTAGGTACACCTCTAATTTGTCACATGACATAGCAAGTGTTCTCAAACTTTTATAGGAGCATGGAGGCTCTTAAAAAGGCTGATTAGGGGTGTACCTAAGTTTAGGGGAATTTCGGGGTATAATTCACTCCTCTAAATTTGATGAGAATTTCGGGGTGTAATTCACTCATGTTGTAAAATCGATAATGTATTTAAGTTCAGTCAGTCAAATCAAGAGGTGTTTTTTTAACGCTGTCAAATAGTTCGCGGATGAAACTAATAATTCACACCAAGTTTGAAGGTATTTATAATATACTTCTCTCTAATCGAAATGATCATTTTAATCTTTCATATATATCACGTAATGAAAAATGGACATTAATATATTTAATAAAAAAATATTTTAATTCTAAATCTTAAAAGTAACGATGCAAATTAATAAAAAATAATTATCTTTAACTAATTATTTACATAAGGAAAATAAAAATTCTTCTTCTTTTCTCACCACTATCGTGTGCGTTTGCAATAATAGAATATACATTTTTCTTGTTTTTTTTATAATATAGTTTTTGTTCTTACAATAAGAGATACATGTATAAGTTATAATTTCAAAGAAAAAAATATACATTAATTATTGATACAAGAATTTTCATTAAAAATATCAAAAATTGACCTTTCAACATATAAAAGTTAGTTATAGCCGAAAATTTTCACTTTAAATCTTTATGTTTTTATACAACTTACATGGGTTGATGGTTATATTTAATAGATTTTTACTAATATTGTTGTTTTAAGATTTAAAACTAAAATGATCACTTTTTTCATACATTAAAGTCAATTTCAGTTATGTGCTATCTATATACTATTAAGAACTAAAATCACGTTTTCATACATTAACTATAATTTCAGCTATATAATACGTATATGATATAACGGACTAAAATAGTTTGATCCTTATATATTAAGAAATATTTTAATTATTTTCTCGAGAGAAGATTATACATATACATATTTGTGGGTCTACTCTTCTCTTTTCATGTTTCACTCAGTTCTAATTAGAGTATTATTTGTTGCATAAACATAAAACCGCAAAAAAAAATATTTTTTATTGAAGATTTAACTTAAAGTTTAACTTTATCAAGTTATTCAGTAAAATATTTATTACACAATTAAATTACTTAAAATCAGTTGTAAGAAAATATGTGTTCGGATCATTTATGCGCATTTGCAAGTTCGTATTGAAATAAATATTAAATAGTATTCATCAATACCTGAACAAATAGAAAAAGATCACTTAATATTTTCTAATTTTTAATACCTTATCATTATTAAACTAACACTTTTGAGCACTAATCCACACCACAAAATATTGGATAATCTATTATAATAGGTCAAAATTAATTTGTTGATATACGAGTCAGTAAAATCTTAACCGCGTTGACTGGATGCTCCAATTAAAAGAAGCCTAGACGTTAAGCATTGAAGGAATCAAAAGCCGACATATGTCGCTTGGTGACCTTATCATTTTTAAACTAACTCTTTTGAGCACTAATCCACACCACAAAATATTGGATAATATGTTATAATAGGTCAAAATTAATTTGTTGATATACGGGTCAGTAAAATCTGAACCGCATCGACCGGATGCTCCAATTAAAAGAAGCCTAGACGTTAAGCATTGAAGAGATCAAAAGTCGACAGATGTCGTTTGGTGATTGAATATGAGTTAAATTATGCATAAATAACACCATATGCGGTCACGTTTTCTGTTATGCATAAAACTCAACATACTAATTTATATATTTTTAATATTGACATAATTAATTCTAATAAATTATTTGATCACCACATTAAATTTTTGATATAACTTATAAGTTTCTTGAATTTACCTCATATAGTACAAATTTCATTCTATACACATATCTTTAAACTAGTTATGGATACGTGCAACGCACGTGTATTCCTATCAAGTATTTCAAACTTTCTAAAATGACATGAATATCAGTACAACATACATGTGTAAGTGTTTTCAATTTGAAAGTGAAAATACATTAAGGATATAACGAACTAAAATAGTTTGATCCTTATACATTAAGAAACATTTTAATTATTTTCTCGAGAGAAGATTATGCATATACATATTCGTGGGTCTACTCTTCTCTTTTCATGTTTCACTCAGTTCTAATTAGAGTATTATTTGTTGCATAAACATAAAATCGCAAAAAAAATATTTTTTATTGAAGATTTAACTTAAAGTTTAGCTTTATCAAGTTATTCGGTAAAATATTTATTACACAATTAAATTACTTAAAATCAGTTGTAAGAAAATATGTGTTCGGATCATTTATGCGCATTTGCAAGCTCGTATTGAAATAAATATTAAATAATTTTATCCATCAATACCTGAACAAATAGAAAAAGATCACTTAATATTTTCTAATTTTTAATACCTTATCATTTTTAAACTAACACTTTTGAGCACTAATCCACACCACAAAATATTGGATAATCTATTATAATAGGTCAAAATTAATTTGTTGATATACGAGTCAGTAAAATCTTAACCGCGTTGACTGGATGCTCTAATTAAAAGAAGCCTAGACGTTAAGCATTGAAGGAATCAAAAACCGACATATGTCGCTTGGTGACCTTATCATTTTTAAACTTACTCTTTTGAGCACTAATCCACACCACAAAATATTGGATAATATGTTATAATAGGTCAAAATTAATTTGTTGATATACGGGTCAGTAAAATCTGAACCGCATTGACCAGATGCTCTAATTAAAAGAAGCCTAGATGTTAAGCATTGAAGAGATCAAAAGTCGACAGATGTTGTTTGGTGATTGAATATGAGTTAAATTATGCATAAACAACACCATATGCGGTCACGTTTTCTGTTATGCATAAAACTTAACATACTAATTTATATATTTTTAATATTGACATAATTAATTCTAATAAATTATTTGATCACCACATTAAATTTTTGATATAACTTATAAGTTTCTTGAATTTACCTCATATAGTACAAATTTCATTCTATACACATATCTTTAAACTAGTTATGGATACGTGCAACACACGTGTATTCCTATCAAGTATTTCAAACTTTCTAAAATGACATGAATATCAGTACAACATACAAGTGTAAGTGTTTTCAATTTGAAAGTGAAAATACATTAAGGATATAACGGACTAAAATAGTTTGATCCTTATACATTAAGAAACATTTTAATTATTCTTTCGAGAGAAGATTATGCATATACATATTTGTGGGTTTACTCTTCTCTTTTCATGTTTCACTCAGTTCTAATTAGAGTATTATTTGTTGCATAAACATAAAACCGCAAAAAAAGTATTTTTTATTAAAGATTTAACTTAAAGTTTAGCTTTCTCGAGTTATTCGGTAAAATATTTATTACACAATTAAATTACTTAAAATCAGTTGTAAGAAAATATGTGTTCGGATCATTTATGCGCATTTGCAAGCTAGTATTGAAATAAATATTAAATAATTTTATCCATCAATACCTGAACAAATAGAAAAAGATCACTTAATATTTTCTAATTTTTAATACCTTATCATTTTTAAACTAACACTTTTGAGCACTAATCCACGCCACAAAATATTGGATAATCTGTTATAATAGGTCAAAATTAATTTGTTGATATACGAGTCAGTAAAATCTGAACCGCGTTGACTGGATGCTCCAATTAAAAGAAACCTAGACGTTAAGCATTGAAGGAATCAAAAGTCGTCAGATATCGCTTGGTGACCTTATCATTTTTAAACTAACTCTTTTGAGCACTAATCCACACCACAAAATATTGGATAAATTGTTATAATAGGTTAAAATTAATTTGTTGATATACGGGTCAGTAAAATCTGAACCACGTTGACTGGATGCTCCAATTAAAAGAAGCCTAGACATTAAGCATTGAAGAAATCAAAAGTCGACAGATGTCGTTTGGTGATTGATTATGAGTTAAATTATGCATAAATAACACCATATGCGGTCACGTTTTCTGTTATGCATAAAACCCAACATACTAATTTATATATTTTTAATATTGACATAATTAATTCTAATAAATTATTTGATCACCACATTAATTTTTTGATATAACTTATAAGTTTCTTGAATTTACCTCATATAGTACAAATTTCATTCTATACACATACCTTTAAACTAGTTATGAACACGTGTGTTGCACATGTATTCCTATCAAGTATTTCAAACTTTCTAAAATGACATGAATATCAGTACAACATACATGTGTAAGTGTTTTTAATTTGAAAGTGAAAATACAATTTTTCATGTGAAAATATATGTTGCAACAATATAAAACAATTGCAAAAGACGCTATAATATTACTCTTGAACAATATACTTCAAGTAGAATATTGAATAATCTTACTGATTTATATTACTAAAATCTAAACAAAATGAAGCTTAATTACTCCATTCTTATAATATTACAACCAAAATGTCCAAAAGCAAAATTGTTATCACGCCAACCATTTGAGTTTTAAAACTGC